CTCGGCTGTGGAATGTCCGGGCGAGCAGGGAGTTGGGCCTGCGGCATGCGGGCTACTGCCACGATTAGTCCACTGGCAATGACGTCGGCCATGCATGGCCCACCCCACATGGTAAGTGGGCCAGCGGTTTCTGGGCTGGGAAGTAATTGGAACAACTATCTGTGCCAGCTGGATTCATCTTTGTAGACAAAGATAAACCCCTATCTCTAGTTTAGACCAACCGAGATGCCAATACTGAAAATGCAGAAATATAGTCAAAGTTCGGTATTTTAGGTGTAGTAAAGTAAATAATACAAATTAGGCCCGTTGACTCAATGAGAATCAATAGTGCAAATTACTACATTAAACAACAGGGTTTTGGCTATTAAATGTAATGAAAATAATAAGAAACAGCAAAGCAGGGCTGAAAGATGCTTCACACACATTGAAACTGTTAGGTGATAGTTTAAATGATGATGATTTTTTTTTCATTCCTGCAGATTGACCTTTAGTATGTTAAACACAAAGAAAATGAGGACACTTGCGTTGACCATCGAACAATAACTTCAATGAACCAGTTGCTTAAGGCTTCCTTTAAAATACTACATAGCAGAATTTACAAGATGTGTAAAAAAGGGTAAAGTCAGAGAAGGGTGTGGAATCAGAAAAGCACTGTTCTACCTACATATATCTGGGAAGAGATGTCATAACATGAATGTGTATAAATATATTTGCTTTTCTGACTATGAGAAAGCCTTTAACAAGGTCCAGCACATCAAACTAATGGGGTTATTGGTACATAAAGATCCTGAGTCAAGAGATACTTATGTAACTGGCAACTTGGATTAGCAACAGAAAGATATAAATTGAAGGTCAAATGACAGAGAGCATGGATAGACGAAGAAGAGTAGGACAACGTCTCATCATTATTTTTCAATATGTACTTGCAAAATATATTTAGAGAGGGATGTGTTGATTCAAATTGCAATATAAACAATGGAAAGGTTATCAGCATCAGATAAGCAGATGGTACAGTTTTATCAGCTGCGAGTCTAGATGGTCTGCAGAGTTGATTTGATAAAGTCAGTGAAGTAAGCAATGACAATGGACCAATATTCCCTCTAATTTTCCACCAGCACTGAGTGAAAACCTCACCCCACGTGTGCAAAGTTCCAGCCACAAGCAGAACCAAATGAGTGGCAACACTAACTGTAGGTGTGCAGCACCAATACGTATAGCTCTGGGCAGCTGCACACTGGTGCAGCTTAGAGAGAACGTTGGTATGAACTATAAATGAATATTAAAGCTCATGGGAATCAGTAAAGCGCAAACAACCTAAGAAATTCAGTTAAAGATCTGAAGTAGAGCACACTGAAGAATGTACACTGGTATATAGTGAAATTTTAGCCGGGCAATAAAAGAGAATAGAGAAAGATTGGAACAGCTTCTTTAGGAAGAAAAATATAGTACTGTATATAAGAAAAGAAAATGGTTTTGAGAATGCACATTGTACAGTGCTAATATTCTTGGGTCTACTATATGGGTTGGAATCATGGATGTTAACACTGAATACTGTAAAAAAAAAAAATGAAGTATAATTTATCTGATAAGAATTTTGTGGATTGAGAAGGTGACCTTCTCAATCCACAAAAGCAATCCACATTCAGCTTAAGTGAGTGAATAAAGACCAAGAATAAGAACCACAAAGTGCAGTAAACTAAGATACTTTGGTCATGTAATAAGAAACAAAGGGTACAGATTGTTTCCGCTGATCCTTCGAGAAGTGCAAAAGAAAGCAGAAGACCTTTTTGACTCAAAAACCTTACCAACTAATGCTGGATGAAAGACCACATTATAATTTTAGAGCTCTTGCGACCATAGTCAGATTCGCCCCAGTGATGCCTATCCTCTGGTAGAAGAGGGTTGATAAGAAATAGTTCGCTCTACAGCTGAAATCCTGTTTGCAGCATATCCCCAAGTGTCATTTTCCATCTGTTCCTTCCTGATAAACAACATGCTGCTGCTGGGATTCTTGGGATATATGTGCACAAGCTTGCATGCACCAAGCCATCACACAGCTGCACCCCCAAAAATTGCAGCAGTGGTGGACTGTTTACCAAGAAGGAGCAGAAAAGAAAGTTAAGAACAGGATTTCAGCTTATTTTTACTTTGTAGTAAGGCTTACTTTGGGCTTACTCCACACATATAGGCTCAGAATTTCGGTCTTAATCAGAATTTTGAACATGAATGAGGCATTCATGGACAGCTGGGACTACTAAAGGAAGAACAACTCATACCTCAGTGGTAGAACTCACAAAAAAACAACAATCCAGATGCTTGCTTCCAAATAATTAGTTTCTGGGCTACGTTCAGTTTTAATCTTGTTGAAGTACCTCCCTTGATTTGGATAGATATCTACCCTTGAGGCTAGGTGAGAGCCATGGAGGAGGAATGGATAACTTGTGGGTTTACCCACCCCTAGCTTTGGTACACGTTGGCTTCTTGAAAGCCAGAGAAACTATCAAGCAATGTATTTTGAGATGGGCATAGCTCTAGTTCTGCATCATTTGGACTCCAGGAGCTATACCTGAAATATTACCTTTGTGGTTAGGGTTTATTAAATCCCATAGAACTTTCACCCTAGTTGTTTCAGGGTGTTACCTACCTTCAGGGCTTCTAGAAATAAGATATGACATATCTCTTGTTCCCAGTGCTTCTGCTCCCATTAAATCAGATCCGGTTGAGACTGCTGAATACATTTTATTGGAGTGATTATTTTATGAGGAAACGAACGTTTATATATTGAATTGACAGAATAAATTTCAGACATCTAGCATACTGACAATACAGTGTTTAAATAAAACATGGTTCATCGGTGGTTAAGAGAATGGATTAAATTACAGGACTCAACTCTAATACCAAACTCTTTGAAGTACAACTTTTTTTTAAATAAGTGTAAGTCCATTTAATAAATAACAACAGTAGAGCAACGTTTCTGCAAATGCACTGTGAATTCTTGGCCTGTTGATGATGCAATCATCGGTTCTGTTGCTGGACTTGGAACTGCTGGAAAGCCTTCTGATGCGGACTGGTCCTGATTTGTCCTGGTTTTCTCTGCTGATTTCTCTATATCTTTCTTTAAAAAATAGCTGCATGAGTAGCAGCAATTGTTAGCTTG